AAAAAAAAAAAAAATCAGAGGTTATATATAGAAGCAAACAGTAGCTTTCCAACCACAACTAAGTCTCTGCAACCCATCTTTTAGAGAAAAGATGTTTTTACTAATCAAATGAAGCCCAATTATTCATTAAAAAAAAGTAGGACCCCTTTTTAGTATCACACATAAACAATCACACAGTACAGAGCTGGTAGCTCACACCTATAATCCTAGCTACTCAGGAGGCTGATTACTAAGGATAGTGCAGCCCTGGCAGACAAATTTAAGAAACTAATCTCTAATTAACCAGTAAAAAGACAGAACTAGAGGCATGGTTCAAGTGGTAAAGCACAAGTCAAGAACAGAAAAAGCCCAGAAAGAGCTCAAAGCTTTTGACTTCTAGCCCCAGTACCAGCAAAATAAATATGAAATATTTATTCAGACATGAAATAAATTTATTTCATTTATTTCAAACATGAAATAAATTGATTTCACAGTTTGGGGGTGTGACTCAGTGATATAGTGATTAATATGTTTGAGGCCCTGAGTCTGATCCCTAGCACTGAGTGGGGGAAAAAATCAAATTCACACAAATTAAGGGGTTATATTTTACAAATGGAATATGTGTGTATAATGAGGATCAAACTCAATGTTTCAAGTAAACATGTGCTCTTAACTCCACACTTCCTCCACCTTACTGTTGCATTATCCCTATTTCCCAGGTATGCTATTCCTGCTCCCCAACATGTCTTCATGCTTTTATTCCTTTGCTTGTTCTACCCGCAAATGATACCGAGTCAATTACCCCGCTTTCACCTTGACGAATGGTGGTAATAATCAAACCTGTTTCTAACATCATCTGATTTTATGAGTCTATCCCCACAATAATGATGAAAGTTTTTGGCAAATGTGATCAAAACAACCCTCCTCCATTCCACGATTTTGGGCATCCCGAATAAACAGATCACTCTCAAATATAAAATATTTAGTATTTTTAAGAATTGGAGAGTAAATGCGGCACCAGGGGCTTGGCATCGGCATGAAGAGATGCATTCCTCTACGGGGATAACAAAGGAATTTACTCAAAGTGTGCCACGGCTTTAGCCGCATTAACTCCGGCGTAGGGGTTATTCGGTTCACAGTTTACAACACCGTCACTGTGGTGGACAGACGCATGTTGTGGGCAGGTTCGGACGCCAGAGACGCCCCAGGACCGCGGAGGGGGCCGCGACCACGCCGCGGTGACGTCAGCTCTTCTTCCCGGCCCCGCTTTGTCTCCCGGCCCTAGAGCCCCCCTACTGAGCCACTAGAAACGTGGCGGAAAGAGCGGAGGCCGGTGCCTTGACACCAGCTGCCCCCACTTCTGTGGGGAGAATGGGTCACCCCGTGGGGCGTGAAGGTTGGACGCTTCTCTCCTCCGCGTCCACGCTACCCGGCCGCGAGGACGCAGTGGCGAGGAGCCGGCGCGGCCAAGCTCGAGACCCGATGGGTCACGATGAGGCCAGAGTGTATCAGGGCCATTCTGGGACGGATAGAGGTTGCTGGAACCGGCCATCTCGCTGCGGGTTCAGAGGATGACCCACCCCCCCTCCCCCAAGGCGCCCTATCCAGGAGAAGAACGGAGTGGGCGGGGCTTCTGGCCCGGGTGTGTGCGTGACGCCCCAGACCAGAAGCCCCGCCCCGCGTCCCGCCCCTTCCCCCGCCCCGCCCCCTCCCGCGGCCCCTCTTCTTCCTGCGCCGTGGTGTGAGCGGCGGCGGCGACGACGGCGGCAGCGGTGGCGGCTCGGTTCCGGAGTCTCGTTGAGAGGCTCGCGTGGGTGGCGACTCACGCTGCGGCCGAGTGAGCAGCGCGCCAAGCGCCGCGCCCCCCTTTCTCTCCACGGAAACCGCGGCTCGCGGGAGCCGCGGCTGGCGGGAACCAGCGGCCCGCGGAAGTGACGTGTTGCTCTGCCTGTAGCGCGTTTGAATCGGTTCCCGGGTGATCCTCGCGCCTCACGGCTGCGCGGCTACAACCGCCGTCGCCGAGGAGGAGCGGCAGCGCCTCAGGCCTAGGCCTCGAGCGGCCCCGAGGCCTAAGGCTGAAGGCCTCGCGTCGAGTCCACGCGTCGGCCCTCAGCGCGGCGGGGTCGGCGGCGGGCGTCGTCGGCTTCGCAGTCTTTTTTCCCTTTTCCCCAATATGGCAGCGAAGGGCGCCAACGGGCCTTCGGTGGAGGCTGGGGAGGACCGCGGCGGAGACGGCTGCAGAACCGTGTATTTGTTTGACCGGCGGGAGAAGAAGTCGGAGCTCGGGGACCGCGAGCTGCAGGTCGAGGAGCGCGCGGACTTCGCGGGCTTCCGAGCCTCAGTGTGTCAGGTACGCGCCGGGGTGAGGGCGGGATGCGCGGGTTGGGGGTGTGTGTGTGTGTGACGAGAAACTCCTGCGGGTCACCGAAGCCATAAACCTGTCAACCGGCCTGGGGCGCGCGGCCTTGAACGCTCTCCGCGCCGCCCGCCAGGCCTGGGCCG